TATATGTATATATATATGTATATGCACATGAAGAGTATACGCCCTTTCCCTGCACTTGTCACGACCAGCGGTTCCGAATCCCGAATGGCTCGATCTCTGGAGGTGTTGTGCTATCATATCATGTGTGCACAAATGTTTGAACTTGAAACAGTTATCACATGAGCTTTCAGTCACACGCACGGTGCCAATCAGGTCGAATCCGCCCTCCTCGTCCCAATCACCCACCCCCGGTACACCAAGCCAAAGCCCTGCCAAGAACAAGTCAAGTGAATCCATTGTCACGGATGCCCATTGCCAGTAGGACAAACGGAAGTTCGTGTTTTCCTATCACAGACATGAACAATCATACAAGTAGTTTGCAATCCGAAAGTGAGAATGACCTATGACCTGTATATGCCTCCCAGAACTACAAAACGTGTGGAACCTTCGGACAGTCAGATCTTCCCGAAGTCAAAAGCACCCCCTATGGAGACATCAACAACTTCCGGGTTGTGATATGTTGTGCCCTTAGCTGCACAACCTTTGGTCGTTTGATGTGCTGGGTATGTTTCCGATTCTTCACGTTGCCGTTGCGGCATAGGTAGTGGTGAGCACATCCCGGCATGCCATCAGGCAGGACTTCAGATTGTGCAGATGGTATGCGGCAGCTGACGGGAACAAACAAAGTGTAGAACGAAGCTGTCAGGCGAAACTGATCTCGAGCTTGAAGAGGGCCTGCAGTCCTTATGGCTGCTCCTGTGCACGCACCTTCGCATAGAATTGGGCACTGACGTGAGGGAGCGCAGAATTGTGCTCGTTGCCTCAAGGTTTCTGGTGGTCTCCATGCAGCTCGGTTTCGCGATGCTGGAGGCGAGGTCCAGATTTTGTTTGAGCCACGCTGAGCTGAGCGTGGCGCTCTTGTCAGGTTGGTGGTGTCCGCGAGGCTCACAGGATGACGGTTCTCGCCAAGACGCTTGGGCGCCGTCGGTCTGCCGCATCCGCTTTCGCTCCGAAGGATTCTGGCACTGGCTTTTCAGGGTGACTTCGGTCAGGACCGCGTGCAATCATTCCAGGCCGTGTTCTGGAGTGTGAAACTCTCTTTCTTGGCTGGGTGCTTTGGGGAATGCCGTGGTTCTGCCATGTGACCAAGTAAAGATCGAATCAATACTGCCGTGCTGCACAGCTCGCAAAACTCGTTCCGATTACTGTTTGATCGCGTGTGCTGGCTTGATGTGACATCCTGTGAAGAGCACGACCGTGCCAAGGAATATCATGGATTCCGTGGTGACATGCCTTGTCTTTGCTGCGACTGTGCGTTTTTTGCACCTTACCTTTCATGGCTTTGTTGTGTCACCGACTTTCGACACTGAAGCCATTCCTTTGCTGACGATGAGCTGTGCTCTTGACTAGCGTTTCGGCATTCATTGGAGCCTTTCAGCTGTGAGGGTGTTCGTTTTCCCAGAGCCGTTAAGGCATCTGAGCCTTGTTCTTGGACCAGATGGACACATCCGGTGGCTCGGACTCGGCAAATCAGGATCAAGCATGAGCCGTTTTGCGGAAAGCTCAACTGTTGGCAGACCTACTCGCCATGAATCCTGTCCCTACAATGCATCGGGCACCTTAGAGACTTGAGAAGCAAGGTTTGAGAAGGAGCTGTCCAACTGGGCCTTCAGTGCCACCTGTGCAACGACTTTCGTCCGCAGAATATCTTCACGGTGGCTTGGGAGCCATTCGTCAGGTTTGTACTTGTGCTTTTTTAAAATGTCAGCTGTCAAGGATTTGTTCTGGGTCAATGGCAGAGCGAGCTCACATGATAGCACCTTGGCCGGATGATGCAGGTGATGCTTCATCTGCAAAAGGTCTGGTATTGGATTGCGTGCGCACTGAGGCATACCTTGTCCATGCCGGCGTTACTCGGCTCCCCTTGTGTGGCAAACAAATGTCATCAATGCCCTTCTGCAGAGTATGCGCCCTCGACCTTTGAGGTGATCGGTGTTGTGGTTTATCCACTCCTTGCAGAGGGTGCCTGGGGCTACGACACCAACTTTTTCCTGTATCGCGAACTGCCGCTCGTTTTGCAAGGTGGTTGCAGCCCGTGTGGGTATAACGGTTTGTCGTTTTGTTCCTCCGCTTTGTCAAGGCACGGCCGTTTTCAGAAAAATGTCGACTACCACGATTGCGCTGGCAGTGGTGTCGTTGCTTGGAGAGGAATCTTGAGCCTTTGTGCTCATTTTGAGTGTTGCATGGCGCGAGGAGCAGATTGCCGGTATGTGGTGTTGCTTTTGCAGCTCAAGCGGGACATTGCATCAGTATACAACAGAAGCCGCGAGATTGTAAGCTTGCAGCCGAGAAGCAAGCATTGCAATCCTAGGCTCCTAGACACTACCGAGTGACAGACTGTGGACATCAGGAGGTTTCGCTAGGTTTTCAACAGAATCATAGCAGTACAGTGGCATGGTCGCTGTTCGCGAAATCGTGCGTCTGTTGGGCTTAGCTGGTGATGTGGTCGCTGGGCAGCACATCATTGGGACAGATTTTCGTCATACTGCCGGTGATCAAACCTCTTTGCAGATCGAAGCACAGGGCTTGATGAACACAAGACGTTTTGATTGGTGACCTGCTTCTGCAGGTCAGCATACTGTCGATTCTGCCTCTTCTTTCCGAGGCCTGAGGGAGGTGCAAGTGTTGCCTGCTCCAACCACCTGTGATGTCCTGCCTCACGGCTCTTAGGTGAAGTTTGGCCACTTGATCCCGGCTCGTGGAGCGGCTGGAAAGGAAAAGGCTGCCTCGGAAGAGCAAGGCGGATGCAAGTAATGGTAACGCCAGCACGGGGGCATCTGCGAGCAGATCTCGTGTGAAGGTGGTGCGGAGTGCGCCAGAACAACTCCCCCTGTTTGGGCATTGTGCCTTCTCCTGGTGCGGCAGCAGTGCACTGCAGCAGAGCTGTCATGGCTTGAACGTATCTTACCAGGTGGCAGAGCTTTGCAGCGGGGCCGCCTTCCTCAATCCATCGGACAAGCAGGCCGCTGAAACTCTAAGCTTGGCAAGCTGGTCTAGAATGGCTCACAGGCTCGACGGGCAATCGGCGAGGTTGTCCGTGCCCAGAAAAATGACAGAGTCTCAGCTCTCGCTGTTGCTGCTGCGAATCTCTCGGCACTTTTTCTTAGAAGCAAGTCTTGGGAGAGGTTTGCCCGAGAGTCTGGGAGTGGTCAGGGTCAGACGGCAGAGACAGACCTGCAATAGGGTTTAGGGTGTACAGGGTGTTGCCCGAGGCAGAAGCTGGATTGGAGGAGACGGTGAACGGCATTGTCAAACTCCTTGACAGCAAAGATGTCCACGAGCCTAGCCTGAACATCTTTGTTTGCCATCCATGCAACCGCTGGGAGGTTCTAGCGGTAGAGTAGAGTTCTGCATAGCTGCGGCCTGCGACACCGTGCTGCGGCCTAGGAGCTGGCCAAGCTCTTGGCAAGCGTGGGAGGGCTTGCCGGCACGCTGTGTATTTCTGCCCTGAGTGGGGCCGGGGACGCCGGAGGCGTTGGCGTGGCTCGGCCATTCGTAAGCTACACATCTTTGTGCGCTTTTTGCACTGAAGCTTTGCATCAATCGGTACTTGATTAGCTGGGAGCCTGTCTCGGTCTCATGCTCCGAGTTCGGAATTCGGGCTGCCGCTGCGCCGCTTCGCACTTTGCTGACCGCTGAGCGATTCTGGGGCCTTCTGGCTGTGACGGCTCTCTTCTTGCTGGGGAACTGGAGCCTCGCAGCGCACACGAGAAGATGCGTGTCCCAGTCACGAACATTTGATTTTTTTGTCGTCGTTCTTACGTATACCATGAGTGTCTTCAAGGATGCCGCTGACAACACTGGTGCGAAAGCCGGCAGCGACTCACCTCATGTTTGCGCTTGAGTTCAGCTTTGACGCAAAGGTTGTTCGGGGGTCAGAGGGCAATCCTTCAGATCTTGAGCTGGAGGTCAACTTGTGGCTTGGATTTTTCAAAAGCTTGTGGAGCCGCGGCGTGGAGACCGGAAGCCCAAAACTTTTTGAGGTTTGGGCTGCTTGTGGGAACTTTGGCTCCCTTGTGCGCTCCCTGGCCTTCGCCGCCGCAGCAGGTGCTTCGCATGCTTCTCTGTCTGTTCTTGTTCGTATGGCACTGTTGCATGTGAGCATCTTCGCGGAGAAGGAGCGCAGGATTCTGGGCCTCTCTCCACTTGGGCAATGCTCAGCGCTGCCGCCTGTGTTGCCCGAATCTCGCGGCAATCTGGCTGCAGAGCTGAAAGACCGAGAGGGCCCGAAGGCTGCTGCTCGTTTTGTCTGAGGCTCATCGTCCACGAACAACTAGCTCCGGCTGTTTGGATAACCAGTTGGTGGTCCGGGTCGAGACTTAGTGTTGATCCACTGGTGTTGACCACTTTGGGACTGGAAAGCTGGTGGCAGCCTCAGGCTGAACTGGGCAAGTGGCCCGGCAGCCACAGCAATCTGAATGTAATGAGGTGCCTGGCGGTACTCCTCCTCATCTTGATTAGGCCCGTAGCCAGCGCTCTTCCACCGTAACGTATGACGTGCCACGCGACCTTGAGAGATGCTTGAGAGATGGTGCAGGAGACCTCGAAAGATGCTGCTCCTCGCTGCCATGACGTACCCGTGCATCGCCCTTGCTCAAGGACGCCGCCGCTCTCTTTTCGCCTTGCTTTGTGACGTGGAACCACACTTGGCCGCTTTCAGAGGACCCCCTGCCTCGCAGAACTTCGAGGCGTTCGTCGCCCCGGCCTTGCAACGTGGCCCCATCGTCATGGCTGTTGTATCGGCCGCTCGGGAGCAATGAAGAAAACAGCCGTTTCGAAGCTTTGCAGTGCACTGCTTTTAGGCGCTGCTCGTCTTCATGGGTGGCTTTCCTACCATGTTGTGCAGCCTCGTGCTCATTCAGGCGCCCGGAGAATGCACTAGCTCTGAAGTCTCTGCAAATTCCCGTGACGTGGTCCACGACGCTTAGCTTCTTGGTCGAGGCGTTGCTCTTCATTCACGGGCTGGACAGCTCCAAGCTATGATGCGGATAACGGAAAAGGAGGGTTGCTGCCTGCTCGGGTGCAATAGTCAGTGCATCATGGCCTCCCGAATGCTGAACAGCATTCCTACGGCACGTTGCTGGATGCAGGGCGCAACCCCAACGTTCCGCCCAGGTTCATCTGAGCGGCGGGTGCGCTGCATTGGCTGGAAGCATGCTGCTTGGAAGGTGGCTCGTCCACAAGCACGGTGCGGACAGACACCGCACAAAAGCCCGGAAGTACTTTTCAATCGCTTCGAGGCGAATTATGTGCAAGGAGCTAGACGAGCTCCTTGGGTGCAGCTAGAGTGTTCTGCCGGAGCACTGGCGTTGTTCTGAAACAAGTGTTAGTGTCCAACACTGAGTATCAGCGTTTGCAGCCCAGGGATGAGGAATGAGTCCAGCCTGCACTAGTTTTGTTCTTTTTTGTGCTGAGTCGGCACAGCGAGCACGCCGGAGCAATCGGCCAGATGTCTTGCCGCAGGCCAGTCGGATGAGCGAGCCGAAAGCACCCTGAAGGCACTCCGACTGATATCTTGGCGTGACACACGAGTTATCACGGGCGTGGACTCCCCTTCCTAGCGCCGTATTTGTCATCCGGCATTATTTCTGAAGCAGGTGCGGCGCCGCTGGACTCCAAGCTGCAACAAAGTTCGAGGGCGGGTTTGCGTGCCGGCATAGTTTCTTGTCGTGTTCACTTGATCAGCATCGTGCAAACCAGGGATGGTGTCCAAGTGGACAACTGGGCCCGTCGTTATGACGACGAGGTTGGGCACGTTGTGAGGAGTTTGGCTTGCAATGGTACAATGACTATGACGACAGATGGCTGGATCCTTTTGTCAGGCACGTGACAAGCTGGAGTTCCAGCACTGTAGCTACTTGCAAGTCATGGGCTTCTTGTCTGGCAGGTCAGCCGCTCCGTGAATTTTTCGGCACACAGTCGACGTAGTTTGAATGGTAGGCCAACCGAAACAATCTGGAAGGGCTTCTCAAGCCGTCAAGGAATGTTCACGCTGTGGGTGGGCTGGTACGGCTTCAACGCTGGGCGGCTGGGTAAAATCTGCGTTTGATGCAGTCGACTCGTGAAGCTTCTCCTGTTTGGATGACATTTTGTTCACTCAGGTCCGTGCTGGGTGCCAGCCATCATCACGAGCATGCAGTTGCTTGACCGATCTGTTCTGCATTTGGGACCCTTAATACGTGCTGTCTTGCCAGGCTGCACTAGTCTCCTGGAACACAACCCTGGCCGCCAGCGCTGCTGGGCTGGGTGCTTGCCTCTACCTCTACGGTTTCCACTTGATGCTTGGTTGAGAGTTGAGAGTACCCGGCTCACGGCTCATATGGCCGGGAGGGGTATGCCGGAGCAAGTTGCATGTTGAAGCAAGTCGGGTTTGCTGGACATTCTGAGGAACCTGGATGTAGGCGGGGACGTTGACGACGTGCAACATGCAATTGGTAGCTATGTGGAGGGAGTTGTTTCTCAGGATCCTTGATGCTGGGCTTGAAGCTGTATCGCATCGTGTAACTTCACAGGGTCTGACAGTGCTCAGGGACTTAATACGGAGTGATGAAAGCTTCGGCAGCATCGCAGCAACACGGACATTCAGAGGAACGGCAGGGATACTCATGAGCCGAATGGACCCGTTGAACATGGCAGCGTGCACCCGATCCCTACTCCGAACACGTTCATTCGGAGACTCTGGAACTTGCAAACACCCAGCCTTCCCAGTATAACGAGTTAAAAGGGATAGTACTGGGAGCTCGATGGGGCCGGCTGAACTCTCAGGCTCTAGGGCGTTTTTTGCAACTACCGGGACCGCAGCGGATGATGCATTGTACTATGGTTTCGTGTGAGCTGGCACTGCTTCTTGCCAGTTTTACCCGGCCTGCAGGTTTCCTGTGCAACGGAGTCCCAAGCTCAGCTCACTCGGCCATGCCCCAGGGTTTTGTGTGCTTTCCAGTGATGTGCAGAGGAAAGCACAGCTGCAGGTTTTGAGCGGCATGGTGGCGATCACTGCTCCTTGTGATGTGGCTTCGCCAGCTGCGAGCGCCGTAGTTGGCTTGCTGAGCGGCTTGCTGGTGCCTCCTCCGAAGACAGACGGCCATTGGGCATCCTTCCAGTTGGCCTATGGGGGCGTGGTAAAGAATCGGCTACGAGTTGGCCATGGGCTTGACCATCACATAGCCATAGCTTAGGCAGAAGCATTTGGCCCGGCATGATCACGACAGTTCACAAGATGATAAATGCTCGAAGAGTGTTTTGCTGCTTGGTCTGATGTTGAATGAGGTGTATCCTGCATGCTCGCGGGCTATGCGATGGGCAAAACTCGATGATCCTGTTGATGCTGTTTCCGTCCATGCTGGGTCCAATGCTGAGAGCTACATGGCAGTTGTTTCTGAGAAGCGGCATCCATGCCGCCAAGGTCGGGCCTTCTGGGCACCTTGGTGCAACAGTTGTTAGATTGATTGTTGTCAAGCTGGTTTGTCGAATCAACACGAGACCTGCTTGCAGGAGTCTTGGCGACTGCGTTCTGCACCCCCGACTGCGATGTTCTCCAATCAGTGCTCGAGCTTAACTGATCAGACTTCAGACCTGAGAATCGATGCAGGGGCGCATTCAAAGGCAGGTTCAGCTTAAGCACATTGCTCGTGCTTGGCTCACAGAAGTGCCATGTAGCAGGACCCGGTTCCCAAACCGCAGGTTCCAACATTCCCACCTTTTGACAGAATGAGCCATGGAGACATCGAGACAGCTGTCGGCCAAAGAGACGATTCTCCAGATGTCTCGGGTGAAGCCTCCCCGCCAGCTAGAACCTCCACCGATCGGAAGTTGGCATTGATGAACCCCTTCAGCAAGTTCACCTGCTGCCTCATCAGCGCAGGGTTGCTGCTGCCGTTCAGCGTGTCTATTCCTGGCTTTGCGTCGTTTCGGAAGGAGATCATTGGGGCCTCCTGCCTGATGATCTTCCTGGGAACACTTGTTCGAATGCGGCTGCAGCGTTGCCGCTGCGAGGTCATGAAGGCCGAGGTCGTGCCGAACCTTGCAGGCAAATATTGAAGAAGCAGGCAAATTATTCTCAAACAGAATCCGGGGCAGGGTACGGTAATTCTAGCGAGTGCAACCTGCACATCAGTAGCTCCCGAGGAAACGGGACATCCGACGACGTCTCTGGGCCACCATCATGTACGATCTTTGGCTGCATGGCGAAAGGGTCGTGCCGGTGTGCGAGGAGTTGGCGTCGTCGCGGCTGGCACAGGTTGTGCTGTTTATCAATCTTGTGTTGACATTGTCTCATTTCCCGTGACATGCGCTAGAGGACTCTCTGTCCGCGGCCGAGCACGACTTCCATTGTATGCAAATTCAGTCACAAGATCCTCACAAAGCTCCCACAAAGCGGATCTTGGAGAAAGCGTGCCCGGATCGCAGAGAGCTTCCGCGGCAAAATCAAGCATAGCCTAACAGCTTAATTGCTATGTGCGGTACCTGAGGTCCGTGCTCGATCCAGCGCCGGCGAAGGGTATGAATGAGCAAAGCACTTGCCTCTGCTGCCTTGAAGATTTCGAGGCCAGGAGCAAACATGCGCTCATATGCTGTCTGCAAGCTCAGCCCGTTTTACCGAGAGCGTAAACCTGCTGCGAATAGAAGATGTCTGACGAGCAGAGTGCCAGGGAGATCCCGTTGACTTGGCCAGCCACGTGCAGAACTCTTCTTCTTGTTTTCTTAGTGCTTTTCTTGGTGCCAGGATTCCTCGGTAGTGGCTTTGCTGCCGTGCGGACACATCTTCCATGAGGCAGGTCCGAGAAACGGGTCTGCAGCAGATGGATCGTAAGCCTGCTGTTTATGAGTTTTGCAAAGATGTCTGTAGGGTAGAGCCCTCGCATCGCATTCTGCTACGGTGTCGTGCCTGACTGGACAAAGCTGTACTGGTACGGTCAGCCCAGTGGCTGTGCAGGCAGATTTGGACAAGAATTGTCTAGTCCTGTGTGAGGACTGCATCATGGCTTGGACCATCGCGAAACGCCGAGCATCAAAGGGCTGTCCGGTGTGCAGGCAGAGCTTTTTGGTATTGTGAAATTCGACCGGCTCCCTCAGAAGGGCCAGAGCTCATCCGGTTTCGCACTTGCGCGGTGCATCTGGGCCGCGCTGGCAGCCTAGTTGTGTCAGCCCAGGGTGGAGCCTTTTGCGGGTTTGTGGCTTGTTAAACAAGTCCAGAAAGACTCGTCAACTGCCGAGCTGCTTGTTCCACGTCTCATTAAATTCGGCGTGCCGATGTCGATTTTTCGAGTCGCAACAAAGATACAAGAGCTTATGCTCGGGCAAGCTTTTCAGAGCTCTGGGAGCCCTCGAAAACTCGATGTCGCAGCGCTGCACAGACCCGTGCCAAGATCTTCCGCTTCAATGCTTTATCGTGTGTAACACCATAAAATTCAGTTTAGAAGCCAACTGTGCCTTGAGCTACACATGAAGAATACTACATCTTACCCGCCCTGTCGAGTGACTTCAACTTTCTGCGCAGAGAATGGTGGAGTTGAGGGGCGGGTATTGGCAAAAGATCAGGAGCAGTGGAAGCGCGAAGGGGCTTGAGGCGAGGTCAACATCTCACAGCATCGGCGCGAATCGTCAAACGATGCTTTCGCCAAAGCGAGTCGTTTGTTTGCACGAACCTTAGCGCTTTGACAGGGTGACGGCAAGAACGTGCATGGGGGTGGTGTGTTTTGTCCTCAGGTTGCACTAACGGATCGTACTGCACAGTATTTTATGTCAGCCTTCGAGTGCAGCAAACACCCCCGGCACATTCCTCATGTACATAACCCGAGTAGTTTCTGCGTCGTGCTGGGCCACCTGTGCACAGCTATGGGATTGCAGGGCGCTGTAAAGGTCACGTCAGTCACCAAGCTGTGATGGCGGACACTTCGTCCTTGCGGGAGCGAGAGAGAGTCAGAGAGAGGGAGAGAGAGACTGAGTAAGGGCTTGAAATCCAAGCTCCAAAGGCCTGCTACGTGGAGGAAAAGCACGGCTTGTTGTTAAAGCATGTTTGCTTGAGAAGCTGCTCTGAGAAGCGGGAAATGGAGTGACACTAGACACCTCGCCTCAACGACGGTAGGCCGGAAGGATCTAACAGTGAGACAGGCGCGGAAGCACAGCACCGCTGGCTTGCAGACGCAGACATTTTGTTCTGGGATCGTCAGGCCATGCAGTTGCGCGGTCGATGGCTTTTCAGCTGGGGCTTAAGCTTCGCCGCTTGTGGCTTGCTTGCTGTCTTGATGCCAGCTGTCCGACAGCACTTTCCCCGCTTACTGAAGCGTGGCAAACGGCGACGGAGATGCGATCATCAGGAGGTGTTGGATAAGGTTCCGTCAATACGCCTGCGCTATGGACTGAGCACGCGGGGTTTTCTTCCCCTTTCTTGCATGAAGCGGCTTCCCAGTGAATTTCAAGACTGGGAGAGACTGGCCGATGAACTGCCAGATCTGAATCGCGCCGGCCGCTTGAAGGAAGCAGTGGATGGCTTGCCTCGCATGGACCTTAAGTGCTTCGAGGGCGCAGGGAAAGAGTTGCTGCAGCGGGCATTTCTGCTTTTGGGTGCATTCGCCCATTCCTATTCGCATGGCCATGAAGTTCCCTGGCATCTAGTCGGCGACCGGGGGAGGGGGACCCTCACCAAGACATCACTGAAATCGTCGAGTTGCTTGCCAGCTCAATTAGCTGAGCCATGGCTGGAGGTCTCTTCTCGGTTGGGTGTGCCCCCTGTGCTGACGGCTGCAGCCACAGACCTTTGGAATTGGCGCTTGCGTGACTCTGCTGGCCCTTTCACGCCCGAGAACCTTGAGCAGGGCATTTCCTTGACAGGCACCAACACTGAAAGAGCTTTCCATATGGTGCCATGTGCCATGCAGGCTGCGGCAGCTGAGGTGGTGCCGAAGGTTTTCTTGGCTGACATCTTGGTGAGGGGTGCGTGTGATGAGCAGCTCGCAAACCTTCTGCGCGAGGTGGCGGATGTCCTCCTTCAGTTTCAGCACTTCTTCCGGCAGATCGCAGGGAGTGTGGACAAAGACCTGTTCTATGACGTTTATCGGCCACTGCTGAACGGATTTCATCCCAGTGGCCTGAAGATGGAAGTGTCAGAGGCAGCAGCAGGCCTGCGGACGAGGCCCGTGGCCTGTGTAACGAAAGCCGTCGAAGGTGGAGGATTGCTGAATAAGAGCAAGGGCCCCAGCGCTGGACAAAGCACCATCATCCTTTTGCTGGACAGCTTCCTGGCAATCTCCCACTCCGAATCAGGCGTTGCTTTCCAGGAGGAGATGCTGTCGTACATGCCTGCAGAGCACCGGCAGATGGTCTTGGACTTTCGGCAGCGCTGGCGTGACTTGGACTCCCTCCCAACGTTCATAGGACAGCGGAAGGTGCATGATCTTGAGGAGGCCTATGGCGAGTGTGTGAAGGCCTTCAGCGGCCTTCGTCGCCTGCACCTTTCCACCGTCACAAGCTACTTGTTGCGAACAAACATCGGAACGGGTGCAACGACTTGGCGATCGCTCTTGCAGAGCATGCTTACTGCAACCTCTCTCCGCGCATCCGGGCCTTGAGATCGAAGTGCTTGCAGCACATCTGGCTGATTCTTCGCCCATGAAAAAGAAGCTGTAGTCGAGATGAGGTATATAGGGGAGGGGGAACAGAGAGGAACTGGACCCTCACACACACACACACAGAAAGACAAGCCAGCCCTGGCTTGCAGGCTCCGTTCCTTAATTGCCGACAAAACAAGCAAAGATACCTGCCTGCATGAACTGCTGGGACCATCCAGACAGTACTCACCGTTGCAGAGAGAGAGAGAGAGAGAGACAGCCCACCACAGCCCTGGGGAAAGAGAAGAGAAGTCATGACCTGTGATAGGATTGCAATTGCCTCAACCAGATTGGGGGAAACCTGGTAATTTAAACACGGCTACGGTCTCGTTGTGCTTGCCCTCTCCCCCCGCAACCACTGAGGCTTTTGCAAAGGATGTTGTACATACTGCACAACATGCAGAAGAAGACACGGCGAGCGCGGGGGAATGTGCTAATTGACTTTTTCGAGTGTTGTACTTCATTGATGATGGTTTTCTGCGTTGTAACAGACCGGGCAACCATATCTTTTACCGGCGTGCTAGGGTTCCTTCTCCCAACAACACGGGCGCACCATGCGGTGCGGGGAGCCTCGGCAGCTCCCTTAACCCCGAAGGACAGAACAGAACAGAGAGAGAGAGAAGGAAAGAAAGAGAGATGGTCTGCAACATGAGCATGCGATTCTAGGCTTTTGGCCCATTATTTGACGCACAAAGAAGTGAGAGAAGAGCGAGCGAGAGCGGTCAAGGATTTTTCTCGTATTCGTGTCATGACCTCCGCTAGGGCAGGGTGGCTGCACGGTTCGTGGGCTGAGGAGCAGCAGCGTGAGGGTGGAGAACTTTTCCTTTCATTGTCGCGGAAAGTCCAACACCTGCAACCAACATATGTGTGCACAGATATCCCTTTAGCTCAATCTCACTTTTGCATACCCCGGTGCTGATCCGCGCCCCGAGTCAATCCTGCAAAGACTAATGACAACTCTTTCATGTGTTGATCAGAAGAAGAATGAACCGATGCAGTGACCAGCTAATGCAAGGGAGTCAGCCTGGCCAGTTTTAAAGAGTCACGCAAAGCCTTCAGTGATGACAGGGTCTGCCCAAAACTGTCATGCTCAAGAAATTGGCTGTTGAAACAGATGGGGGGAATCAGTTGGGGACGGGACGTGGGTTTACAATCCCAGGTCCGCTACCCGACAGAAGCTGAAGATGCTTGTCTGCATCATATCCGAAGCTTCTGAAGGTGTGAAGCCGAGCAGAAGCTGCCCCATGTATCCGAGGTTAGGTTCTGCTCTGCTACACATACGGTCGCGCTCGAATGCTTCCGGGTTTTGGACTTTCTGCTGGCTGTAGGAACCTCGCAGTTGACTGTGTGCGGATTCTATGGTGACCAGCTGCCAGGTCATGGAGCAGCTTGAGATCCAGCTTTGGGGTGTCTCGGCAGTTAAGGAGAGGGCTTTTGGGGCCACGCGGCCGGGAAAGACCGTTGGCCGCAGGTGCTTTTCTTATCATCCTCTGGTCCTTCTCGAGCCTTGGTATCCAATGTTAGTGTCACATCCGTGGTCGTCCCGAGAAGTTTGGTCTTGCAGTGAGCTGTGAGAGCTCTTCGGGGAATTTTGGCTCGAGGATTTAGGCAAAGAAGGCTGAGCTGCCACTCTGCTTGGTGAGCGAGCCAGCATGATAGGGTTGCTGCTGGGAGAGGCGTCCATGGTGCAAGACAGCTGCCTGTGCCTTGCCCTTTGCTGTGGCATTCTTATCATGAAGCTGTTGTCGGGCTCGCTGGTGCTGTCTGCAGCTTACGTGTACGTGTTCAGGGGCACCCCGCGAGCCACTCGGCAGTTGGCCGAAAGCAGCGAGTGTCCCTGGGTCAAGTTTGCCCAGCGGCATCATTTCATCAATTGCCAGCACGAACAGCAGGAGTGGATGGAAGTTCAAAGGTACTTTGACAGCTTGCCCGCAGGCCAGTAGCTGCAAAGCCAGACACAAGTGCTTTATATCTTCGAAAGTGCATGCACATCTACGGCGTGTTTAGGCTTCTCGAGTCACAGACTCTTTGCTTTGCACGGCGTTTTTTTCTTTGCAAGCCGCGTTTGAGAATGCTGCCGGGTCCCAAGTTGAGAATCCTCCGAGCAGCAGTCCAGTGCGCTTCACCTGAAAAATGACGAATTCGTGTTCGTCGGCTGATGTTCCCAGATGTAGTGTGCCAATGTGGACGGTTCCGTAGACAAGGGTCAGCTTGCAGTACCATGCAACGAATATCCGCCGCGGCTCTTCCGAGCCTGTCACGAAGCAATCACAGACAGCCAATTCGGCGACATCTTTGTTGAAATTGCTGACAGGTGGCATTGACCTGAGTTTGATCGGTCTCGGGTCAGTCGAGAGGATGGGCAACCAAGTAAGTCTGCAATGCTGGCATGTTCTGGTTCCCATCTTCAGCCCATTCGGCTGTTACGGCGTGGTTGCTTCATTTTTAAGTTCCTGGCATACAGCAAAGCTGCTGCCTTCGGAACACAACGTACGCATGATACAGCGACAGCGACTGCACTCAACCACCCTTGTCTCCAAGATTCTCCAAGGGGGTGAGGACTTGGGTTGTCTTTGGGGGCGTCCTCAAGGTTATGCGAGGCCTGCTTCAGGAGCAACTGTAGTTTCAAACTTGCTCAACGTCTTTGGCACGCAAAATTCAGGATCTGAAGAGTTGGCAGGGTCAACGTGGTTTAGCAGGGCTGTCTCTGAATCTGAATTCGCATGCTGGCCGCGAACTGCTCCGTGATGCAGCGAAAGACGCTGACGGTGTCTTGGGTGCCATCTTGCCATCCCGCGGTGCTACCGCTTTACCAAATTGTTCCGCATGGTGTAGTTGCTCACTCATAACTCCATGGTACGGCTTGCAGACTTTGTGCCGAAGGGGTGTGTGGAAGGCCTTGCAGCACGATGAGAAGGTCGGTTGAACCGATTTATGAATGAGATGCAGAGAAACGACCGAGTTCAAAAAGAGTCTCAAGTGCCGGTCTAGTGCAGCAGTCGATCGGCCGAAAGTTCGCAAACGATTGGCTCGCCATCTGAGGGTGTCGCTGGCCTTCTTCTCATTCTGCGCTTTCTCAGAGCGCCTGAGGGGGCGCGAGTTGAGTCACGTGCGAGAGCTCCAGGACTCGCGAACTGGTGTGAGCTCGTATACACTTGCTCGTCCGCCAGCAAAACTTTTGGCAGCCTTTTTGTGGAATTGTGACAGGAGTTGCTGGCCCCGATCTCCATGGCTACCCCTCAGGCCTTCGCGATTCAGATTTTGCTGAATGGTTTCCGAGGGTTTCTTCGTAGCCGGATCCGAGAACCGAGTGATAACCCGAGAGAGAGTGCTTTGCCTCGGTCGGCCTTGCGATGTGGGACAGTCAGGCGAGACCGATCACGTGAGCCGACCCACTTCTAGTGGCATCTTTTCTTGTAGTCGACGGCTGCAGCTGACGTGACTAAGTCGTGAAGCCCACCTTAGGACCTTTGCGTCATTGCGGATCGGCACAGCTGGAAGATGTGTGGTGTGGAGCTTTCTTCGATGCTTTTTGCTTGAGGTTGTATGTTCGCTTGTCTTCCGAACGCCGTGCTAGAGCCATACTTTGGTGGGGATTTCCAAGGTGTACACTTGTCACGGTCGTCTCAACATGGCAACCTAACTTAGCCAAGCCCTGTTAGGAAAATGCAAAGCACGACACCGGTACAACACAACATGAAAGAATGCATGAATGATGCTGATGCAGACTCTGTCCACCAGCTGGAGTCACTCTCACCAGCTGCACATGCGCACTGCTAGCACGCAGGCACTTTCTTTGGCTGGAGGCTTTTGTGATCCACTCCCGCCCCCGGCGCATTGAATTCGTCAATGAAAAATGTTACTTGTTGAACTCACCGGCGCAAGTGTCATGACATCCACCGAACCCCTTGCTTAGAGTCGGGTGTACACACACACAAACTAGCAGTGGCAGGCCGTGGATGAGACACTCATTGGTCTTCGACTAGCTGCACTGGCTGAGAAATCATCCCTGGACTCTTGACGAAACGTGGATGTAGATGTGGCTGGCGCGTTCTCATGTTTTTGGGATTTAATTTTGAACTTGTCAGGTCAGATGTACGCTAAAGCGGCGAGGATGGACCCATGGCCTGCCCAAGGAGAGGGTTGCATGTGACACGGTGGCGATATGACGCATTGTCGCATCATCTTCATTCGGCCGGGGCCGGAGCGACCTGCGGCTTGGCGGGCTTGCCGATTTCCGAAGAGAGCGTACTCAGACATTAGGGTGCCGTGGCTTCTGGCAGCGGCCGGCATGACACTTGCTGGTCACTGCCAGGCCGAGAGAGAGTGAGATTCTTCTTACATCGTGAGGTTGCCGTTCTTCGCAGCCCATGTGTGGCTTAGAGAGAATCAGGGGGATGTCCGCTGGGCCTTGTGATGGCGGATGGGCACGATGTGCCACAACCAGTGGCCTACAGGCCTTATTCCGCCGAGCATCTCAGCTGTCTTCAATCGTCGTTTAGACGTTTAGACTTTGGTCATTGTGCGCGGAGCATAATGTTTTTCTGCAGGACAAGGACTTCTTTCAAAATCCACAGCCAAGGGGAAGTGCCGCTCCGGAGCCGAAGCGTCCGAAGACTTTCCGGCCGCAGAAGCCCACCACGCAGAGAGCTGCACCGGCCCGAGACGGCCCAGAGCCACGACCGCCACGAGCCTCATGCATGCGCGAAGCACGCGTGAATGCGTGAGGTCGAAAAGTCGAGCCTTGCCTCCGTGGGCCCGGAGGCTGCAGCATCCTGCAATTCTTCGAGCATAGGTCACGTCGAACTCGTCACTGCTGCAGGAGTCCGTTGGCCACATGCTCCATGCAGCTGCGCGGCGCCAGAGTGTTGAGTTTCAATCAGGCTGGACATGATTCAACCTGACCGTTTGATTCCTGCTCTTGCCACAGTTGCCGCGGTGCCTTGACTTGACGATGAGGCCGTGCGCGAGATGTCCCACAGACAGCGGAACCTTCGCACGGCAAGAAGCATCTCGTGTGGTTCGTGACTCCTGACCATCCTGACCATGCACAAAGACACTCGTGTTTAAGCGCATTGTGATGTCATAGCTTCCGTATGTTGATGAACGTGACGCCGTTGCACGCTTGTGTTACGGGGCTGGCACCCTATGTGTTAACTTTTTGGAGTATCAAACGGGCAAGTAGTGATTCGTCTGACAGAGCTAGAGCACACTCTTCAGAGCTTTGGGCACCCGGTGGCTGGCCAGCAACCCCATCTCGCCAGCTTGTCCGAGAGCGATATTCGAAAATTTAAGCAAAGTCTGGAGCTACTCCAGTATTTTCACGGCTATGGGGGAAGCATCGGGCTGGGGTAGATCCATGTTCACCTGCGAAGTGATTCGAAGTGATGGCAGCGTGCCCATGAATGACTCGTTCGGAACATACAGGAGCGCTTCCACGGCATGTCCCTGAAGAGCTTCGGGCTGCTTCCTGGCCGCTCTGGTTGCCGTTTGCATCAGGGAGAAGCCATCGGGGAGTTGCACATGAAAGGTGCACAGCAACAGTTAGCCTCAGCCGACTGAAGCACCTTCGCACGCTGAGGACCTCGAGCCTGGGCGGGACAGCGCCGCGGAAGGGCAAGGAGCGCAAGGATGGCAAGCCCGGCACTTACAGCTTACAGCCTCACCACAGGCCTGCACACTGCCTGCTTTCTGGAAATCTGGTTTGTTTTTTAGCTTTGCGAACCCCTGCTCCGAAGGTCCATGGACCTCATGGACCTCGCCTTCTCTGGAGGCATGCAGATGTGGAATGGCGAGCCGATGCCCAGTTATGCACCGCTCCTTGGCCCCCCCATTCTCAGCGGATTTCTTAGGTTGCTGTTGGTGTGTGCGCGAGAGAGTCAGTGAGGGAGGGTGGGAGGGTGGCAGGCTGTGAGTGTGAGTGCGTGTGCGAGTGGGCACCATCAGGATATCTCTTCCTTATTTCGATGTGGAGGAGGAAGGCTCTGGCGTAATTGTCCAGGACTCCACCGAAAACAAAACGAGGCAGCATTCATGTGCCGTGAAACCGTTTGCAAATCATCGTGCTAGACACCTATCTTGGACTGAGTTGGTCTTGTGTATCATGAGGAAGCCGAGTGCACAATGTGGCAGCATGCTGAAGCCGCTGACGAGGCCGAAGCTCGTCCACATAGACGAGGCAAATTCGAAGGCTGCAGAGAAGCTGCTCGGGCCCAACCAGGAACGTGCACCTGGCAACACTAGGCTTCGCAGAATTGCCATCGCCCTTCATGAGCAGCTGGCCTTTCGTTTTTTCTTTGTGGTTCGCATGCTAAGGCCAAGATGGCAAAGAGTTGCAAACTTCCGGAACCCACAAAATACCGACACACCGCTCGGGCCAAACGCGGTGCAGAGCCCTTGCAGGAAAGTTTGCTGATTGCACTTGCGCCGACATTAAACGGAGTCACAGACCCAACGGGCTGCGGATGCATCGGAAGCTGAGGAAGACTTGGAGAGTCGCGATCATGCCCCTCCCACCCCCCCAATGCCCTCTGAAAACCTCGGGAAGCCTCCGGAATAACTCGAAAAGTGGAGAAACGCATAGGGGCCTATGCGCCACGGACCAACTTGATCGTCTCGGGAAGCGGGCGAATCTCTCTCAACTAATGTTGCCTGAAATCAAGCTCGTGTCGTCTGGAGACAGGTGCCGCTTCGACGTGAGCAGCCACACAGCTCCAGCCTTCAGCAATAATTTTCAGCCACACAGAACATGCTCTGCACGTTTGTAATCGGTTGAGAGCTTAGATGCGCATGCAAAGTGAGCCGAAATTTTCCGGCTCTTTGGAAAGGTGCATGTGCTTCCGAGCAGAGCGAAGGCCCGCTTTTGGTTCATGTTGTCTCATTGTCAGGAGCTGCTGGAGGACAGCTATTTTCTGCTGCAGATGCCGTGTGTCCTGCCGGAGATGAGCAAGCCAGATTCGTGGCCAAAGAACGACCAAGCTGGCATCTTGTGTCATGGTAGGCAACGTATCGTCCGAGGAAGACGAGCTCTTCCGAGAGGCAGAGGATGCGGCATCAGCTGGATCAGGCAGCTTGCAGTACAGGGTAGACAGACGGGAGATGTAGAATGAGCCAGGTGCAACCATCACCCGCTTGCCAGATGGCAAGCTGGGAAAGCTTCGTGTTTACAAGTCTGCAGCTTACAGGAGTTCAAGCTTTAGAAGGGCAGTGACTCAAAACGAGGGCTCTTGCAGGCATTTGGGCGCCACAGGTCTGGTAAGGTGAGGATGGAGATCGGTGGCATCTCCTTCTGCGTCGACCAGGGCTGTGAAACCTTCTTCCAGCAGGACATTAAGCGGAAGAGTCGGAAGTGAGCCTTCAAGCAGATGTTCTCAGATCGTTTCTCGTGGGAGGACCTGGCACTTGTCTGCCCTTTGGCTGGCGAGTTCTTCAACCTGGGGCGTCTAAACAGCAGGCGTGCAAATCTGAGCCTTCTGCAGTCTTGCAGAGGCCTGCAGTCATGAGATATGTGCAAAGCTCGAGCTTTACAGGATGGTGCTGACACCAGATCTAGATGCAATCCTGGCGCAAGTTCCCGAGATGCTTAGCCAATCAGAGGACTCGGAGTTTCGAAGCAAAGAGACGAAGCTACAGAACAAGACAGGCCGGATTGTTTTGAGTCTTGAGGAGACGCCGGTCCTAGAGCAGGCGCCGAAAAAGGACGGGACCTCTTTATCCGCGAAGTCTCGCTGTCTGCTTTCTGCCGGTCCGCCTCTCCGAATTGTCGGAGAGTTTGCCGGAGGAGCCTGCAGCTGTACCTGCTCAGCTGCCGGTGTTTCCTGCTGCACGTGGGAAGGCCCTGCTCTGAGATTCGCGTTTGCATTCTCTGAGCTTTGCATGTGCTCAGCTTGTCTTAGGGGCGTGGAAAAGGTTCTCGCGCCGCTTGGAGCCAAAAGACGGGCATCTTTTAGTGCTGGAGCCAGCCCGGATTTTGCAGCTCGCCGAGGGAAAGAGATGACTTCGGGGTCCACTCCCGGCTTCTCCAAAGATTCTGCGAGATGCAGCAGTGAGAAGCATCCGAGCCAAAAAGACTTTGCCTGCAATCTCTGCAATTTCAACGAAATCGGTGGGGCCACATGCATGGCTGCGTAGTGGCTGTGCGTCGGGCAAGTCCAACGGAGTCCCGAAACAAGCAACCGGTTCAGCACTTTCCATGCACCGACGTTACGGCATGCGACGGCTTTTTGTTGCCGGGCAGGGGATAGAGAGAGAGAGGGAGAGGATGGGCCTGCCCCCGCCCCAAGCCCCGAGCAAAGCAAAGGATGGCTAAAGAGAAAATAAGTCGAAGCACAAGAAGAACAAGACTGCAAAGGCACAGCGGCAGCAGGCACCGCACGCAAAAGCAATCGCTCGCCCAGTCGCAAGGCACACGACGATGATACTGTGCACCGTGCACACCAACCTGCCAGTGAATGCAGCTCAGCCCAGCACCGGTACAGCACTGCCCAAAATACACGTTTTTGTTTTGTTCGCCCTTCCTTGCAGGACGTCGCAGAGCTGCAGGCAGACCTCACGCTGCTCACCACGGGCTGGCGACAAAGCGCACTGGAAGTCGATGCGAGTTGCGTGATGGAGGTCTGGAAGTGGCACCTTTACAGTAGAAGCCTGCTCTATCCGGCTCTGGTGTCGCCACAAGTCGCATATGGTCAAGAGCGGCCAGCCATGCGTCCTAATTAAGCTGCCTAAGTCGATCAGAGCTGGGCTGGAGAAACGCTCTCCGTGTGGGTGGCCAGGCGGCGGTGACGGCAGCGTTTGCTTGCCGCCCATTGCGAGCGCTGGCCCAGCTGTCTGTCCCTCGAGCCGTCGCTGCAACTTGCAAGAAGCCCGTCCTGCCCTCCCTAGGCGACTGCGCATTCACCCTGCTGCGGAGCTGTCGGGGCTTGGAGCCCTCAAGGCTAGCGGCTATCGGACACAAAACTCCAGGACTGGAGGTACATCTCTTCAGGTGTTGCAGCCAGACTAAGGACTACAGCCTTACTTAAATTTAGACTCCCTGTGCAGGAGAGGAGCCAAGGCTTCTCTAGGGATTCTGCTTCCAAGCACGGACAGCAAGCCTAGTGGCCGAGAAGTCGTGGCAAACATTCCAGCAGAGGTAACCCAATCATTCGCTCCGTGTCGTGACTTTCCTGGACATCTTTCTGGTTTGGTCTTGAGCCGAAGTCAGCTATGGTTTGATAGTTGTTTATCCTTGTTCATCCCTCCTCTCCTTTTGCTCCGTTCGATGGAAACTCTAACTCCCGGGAAACCCCGGCCCCTGTGCCGTAAAAAGGGTCGCAGGCCTTGCAGGTTTTTGCTGTACTAGTTGGTTGATGCAAATGCAGTCGTAGCATGCATCGAATGGGTGTCAATGCGCAGAGAGGCAGTCTGCCGCCATGCATGGCTATGTGAAGGCAGAGGGTGGGAAGCTCTACCATGCTTTGAGCGCTGCTGCGAACCAGATTGCGGAGCTCCGTGCGGAGCACCGGCACGCAGCCGAGTTTGTCGGTGCCTGGCGGTCAGATCTCTAAATTCCTACCGTTCGTGCCAAGGTACGTTCATTCTCCTCTGAAGCGGAATGTGAAGGAGCTGTCGCTCCTGGCAGCCCGGCTTGTGTAAAAGTCAGAATCAGCCTTCTCGAGTGATTTCCAGTCTTTCAGGTGAAGAGCCAGGATATCCTTCTGCGCGCCCTCACAAGGAAGCATTCGCCGAGGCTGACAGCCTTGCCATGTCATGCTGTAGAGTTGCAGGCGGTTCGGTTCATGCGGGGTCGGATTCAAGTTTGAGGCTCGGTGGTTTCTGACCCCCGACCCCGAAGCCAGGCTCTCTTATAAGGAGGAACGAGAGGTCTCTGGCGTTTCAGCGTCGCAGAAACCGTGGAAAGGTTTCAGCTTTCGATGCTTGCTTGTCAGGGGCTCTGGCTCTGTCTGCACCCATGCTGTCAGTGCACCGGCACATGGCAGGCGGACGAGCACACTGCAGTCTGTGGCAGAGGAGGATGAGAGATCGCAGCGGAGCTCCCAAAGCTCCAGCAGCAACACGCCGACGAAGCCTCTTTCCAGAAATCAATTCGATGACGGAATAATTAAAGTTGAAAAGGGTTTTGGGCGTTCGGCTTGTAGCTTAGTCGGTTTGGGAAATGCTTCGTCGTACGCCTCGGCCTCAGTACGGATTTTAAATCAGGGACTGCTTTGAAATGGTGCGATCATACTGTTCGTGTGGCTGAGGCTACTGCATCATGGTTGCAGAACACGACGTGGCATATATAGGGTGCAGACGTCAGAGAGTGAGAGGGCGCTAGGATGCAGAATGGGCCGTAATGGGCCTTGGGAGTTGAGAGGTTGATCCAAAACCGCAAGCCCTACCTAAACCCTGCAAGGCCTCACGGAACTTCGGTTCCGGGCAGTGTCAGGCTGTCCAACAACGTGAGCTGCAACTAAAGCCAAACCTGCAGCCGCATGTCTGCCAAGTTTCGAGGCTGTGAGTGCAAGATTCCTTTCTTGGCAGTGCAGGCCGCGGCCAAAACCCGAGCCGACGCCGCCCCCCGCCGAGGAGGCAGAAGCTGCAGCTGGTGGCCCAGGAGCTGAGGAATGTTTTTCCGCAATCCAGGTCGGCCTTTTGCTTTGCTCCCTTCCTTTCTAACTGCTCAGGCGACGCCCCAGTCACCAGCGCAATCCAGCTCCGAACCGTTGCTTGGAAGTGTGCAAGCTATCTCAGAGAGTGGGGGGCGGGTGGGTTTCGTCGCGCCGAAGGTTTCCACTCCACGTGGTTAGCGTTCGAAGCGAGCCTTGCATGCACCGGGGAAAGTGGAATGCCTCTGTGTGGTTCCTCCAGTCTAAGCCCAGGCAATCCGCCGGCCCCAGCAACACGTACCTCACAGTTAGTCCAAGCTTCCAAGCTACAAGCGCTAGACCTGGAAGTCAAGGCTGGCCCTGAGCTCGTGACCGAAAGCAGTCTGAGGGTCGCTGTTCCCAACCTGAAGGACCCAAATAGCAGGAAAGAGGAGGGCTCCTTGTGTAGAGGTCTTCGGATTCAGACACACAGCAAAAGATCCCGTTTGGCCACTGAGAACAGCACTGTCTCGGACGCCAGCCTCGGAGCTCTGAGTGCCCCGCAATCCGCGACAGGTGCCTGGATGCAAGGAGAGGGGAACCGGGTTGGTTCTTTGAGGGTGTTTGCAGCTGGCATGCTGTGCTCCAGGCTCGACGCCCAGGCCCACCATCTTGGGTCGGGAATCCCGAGACTCCAGGACGCTAGGGAAGTCGACAGGCTCTTCGCATGGTCCGTAGCATGGACAGGACCCGGTCCAATGATGCCAGCGATGTCGCCGACCAGCTTACCACTCTGCTGCTCGAAGAACTGGTAGACTTTCCTGGCCATTCCTTCCCTTCTGTCTTCCACTGTGTTCACATAACAAGGCTCACAGCAACCCTTCGAGAATCAGAAAAACACATGCTGTCATATGCTGTCACATGCAGTCATGCAGTGTGAGTAGGTTGTCTCGACTGCAGCGTATGAGGGTCTGTCGACCGGCCGGTTGCTGGCTTTGGCCGCAGAGCATAAACCGTAATTGGACTCAGTGGATTCCAACGCGAACTGTGAACTGGGATTCTGCAAATGGGCCACCGCCGCCGCAGCGCCTGGCCATTCCTGGCTGCATCGGCCGCCAGACCGGATGTAGGGCTAACTGTTGCGCTTTGGCCCGGCTGTGATTAGTTTTGGAGGAGCTCGGAGCTAGCAGCTAGTTGTTACGCGTGACACATGGCTCTGCATCGACTGCAGGTCCGCACGAGTGCTACTAGCAGTGCGGAGGATAAGCTCCAAACGAAGCCGCCTTGTAATCTCGTACAATCCCTATTGGTGCTTGGCACGGGATAGTACTGTACCTTGAGAGTCAAGTCGATGTCCTTGCACAGTTTCCAGACTATTGAGGTCGGCGGTTTCCCTCGTTTGCGAAGGCGGCCCTCTCAAAGACCCTCCATTGAACCCGAAAGCGGAACCAGACGTAGCACAGAAATCCTGCCAAAAAACAAGGCCCTGGCCGAGCCCGAAGCGAAACCAGACGCAGCACAGGAACCCCGCAACAAAAACAAGACATGTGTCTGAAAACAAGCATTTTCCTTGGGTTTTCAGTTCCGTTTTTAGGGGCAGAAAAGGAACTGGAAAAACACGAGAAAAAGCGCCCTTCGTCACCACCACGGCCTCCAAGCATCAGGTGCTTTTTGGATCGACTTGCTCACCCCGAACAGCGGTGCCTGCCGGTGGTGGCTTCGTGGATGCAAGGACGTGCCGCGGCATGGGTTACACGTCCTCAAAGGAACTGGGAGGGACATTGATAAGCGCAAGGTTTGCATGTTATGCTCTGTGCCCTGTGCTTAGGCACGATTGCAATCGGCATGGATGCGGCGAGGTGCGCTTCAAGCGCGAACGACAGAAGGGGCTCTACCGGAGGCGCGCAGGACCTATGCGTTCCGTGCGCCATGGGGGATAGCTTGACGAAAATTGCTTGACGGGTCCGACACGTCCTTTGCATGTGAGCTGCATGCCGTCCTGCTTGTACTCTGGCTACATGTTTTCCCGCTATCCTTCGCATCTCAGTTATCCATGGGAAGCCTGGGACCCACTGCCGGGCAGCTGTGCGCGGTCCCCTCGCGTGGGGCGAGCAACTTGCTCTGTGATTATTGATATTGTTTTGCTGGAGACACGTCGCAGGGTTGGTTCGAAGGCTGCTGAAGCCTGATGGCTTTCCACGTGGATTCCTTACCGAAACTGACATCCACACTGCTTGTGCATCGCTCAGGTCGTGGTGTCGGGCTGGCCTAGCAGATTGCCAGGTGAACTGCGGGGCGAAGCTTTGCAGGAAGTTCTTAAATGCTTAGCAGAAGCGGCGCAGCATGGCGAGCTGCGAGAAGATGGCGCCGTTCCAGGTTCCCAATGCCCTGTGATGAGCACAGTTAAGACTCATGCATGTAACGTTTTAGGTCAAGTTTCACTTGATGTGCCGCGTCCTCAGGCCTGTACACATCAGTGTTGGTGCAGGTGCTCGCCCGGTCCAGGCACGCCTTCGAGAGTTTCAGGACTGTCCTCGGTCTTCTTAGCTGTCTTGAAGTTTGCGAAGGCTGAAGATAGCTGCTGTGCACCTTGGTTGATGCAGGAGGCAGCGCCTGGCTCATCCAAGCTCTCCAAGTTCCTTCTCTCTGAGGCCTTGCGTCGGGCTGAGAAGCTGCACAGATCTGCGCGAGCATTCACCACAGGGTGCTCTTGGGCCCGTGCCGGTACTAAAGAGTTCATGCCGAAAGCACGAAACAGTGCAGTTTGCTGTGCTTCCTCCGCCAGATCAACTTTGTAACCAAGATCCAAGCATCCCCGCCCGGGTCAATCAAGACACGGTGAGCAAGCTGAACCGGGAACCCAAAACCCCCAAATACGGCGAAGCCTTGGATTTTTGCAGCCGACACCATCGATTACGAAAGAGACGGATGGACTTCCTCTCTGTGTCGCTCAGGTGAGTGGATGTCCCACACCCTCATTTGAGCACAGCGGTGTCATGTGACATGTAAGTCGCCATGGGGTTAGTGTCTTCGAGCACGAGGACGTCTTAATATCAAAGGCTCCCTGATATCCCCGACGTGCTTGATATGGGCGATAAAGAATTGAATGGGGGTGTAAGTCTTGCCTCAAGGCTCAAAGGGGTCCCAAGCACGTCACCAGAGGTGGGTGGGCTGGTAGTTGGTGCGTTTGGCCTGCGTTACTGGCAGTCGGGTTCGCATATGTTGGCATGATCCCATCATGCCGTTGTCAACGAAACAAATCTGATCACCTCATTTACCGCGAAGAACCCTTTACGCGGGGCCCGACGAAGCATGGGATAGGCTTGAGAAGTACAAACTTACGAACACAATATCGGATTGAAGATCCATGCCGAAGAAGAGGGGAGCACCAGAACCCTAACAAGGAAGCTTCCGGCGCACCAACTTCCTCGCCAAGGATGCCGTGCCGGTGCAGCTTCTGGTGGAGCCACCGGAAACCAACATCAACAAGGCGGAAATCAACGCGGCGACAGTGGCTGCCAGAGGTATGATGCGCGAAGAGCTTTCCGAGCTTGAGTCGAACTTGTCCCGAAAGCTTGAGGAATTACAACAATGCAACGCCCAACAACAAATTGAAAAACACATATCCCACCTCAAAGTTCAACCATCAGCAACGACAATGTCAAAATGGATGACTTGGATTCGACAAAAACAAGACCCGCAGAAAACTGGTCGTCAAGGCAGTTGGGAAGGTTGATGGTTTCCAGGGCGTAGTTGCCACCATCCCAAAGCCAGTCAAAGTGGTTCCATTCACCGGTAATAATGCTCGCATTTCTTCGAAGTCAAAAGCGCAGCGCCACACCGGCATGCAAACATGCGAGCTGTGGGCCGCAGATAAAACGTCAGCAGCAGATTGTCGACTCAGCTAGATCGCCAGCAAAATTAAGAAGTCGGCCATGTAGGGGACGGTTGAAACAACAAATCAGTGCATGTGTGTTTTCGCAACAAGGCTTAGCATCGTGGAAATTCTCCGTCCTGTCAGCACGCAGCCGATGATGCGATCCCAACCAAACTATGGACATCAACTTTTCCGCCAAGCATGTGCAGAGTATGAGGAACCAGTCTCGATTTGAAGATTTCGTGGCTGAACTCGACGATGCGACTTGCGAAAAGTTGTGTTCTCAGCGCAACCTGGCGAAGTGACAGTGAGGGGCTCTTGATTTCGCCATGTGGAGCTTACGTCTATTTCAATCTATTTAAGCGTATTAGCACATGCAAGGGCGTCGGCATCTGTATTTCACACCGTCTCTGGAGACATATGCAAAGTGTTTTTTCATTTCATGCTTTCCGGAATGGGTTGTGCTCGTTGCTTATCGATGTTCGAGTCCATGCGCTCCGAGGTGTTCACATGCTAATTCCTACGTCATAGGATCGACCGCCAGCTACTTTGTCCGGTTTTCGGGAACATTGTCGTCGTTCCACGGCGAGGTTAGCTTCAATCCCATTCGCACATGGAAACCCAGCAGGTGTGCACAGTCCTTGCGACATTAATTGGAAGCCACTCAAACACCTACAGCCGACCGTAACGTCGATTACACCCCCGATGATGATTTTGCAAGCATGTTGGCACGATCGCTCTCTGGACCACATGCTGTGTTGGAGTTAGAGGAAACTCCCTGCAGCATGGAGAGCTTCGACAGGCATTTCGCAACATGAAGGCAAAGAAGGCATGGGATGAACATGGCTGCACGGCTGAGCATTTACCGCATGCAACCGATGAGCTCAAAGACGTGCTGTTGGCTTGTAGACTCATGTGCTGATTTTCAGAGATGCACCTTCAATCTGGCTTCAATCTGGCGGCAGAACTTATTCCACACTTTGGCCAAGGCGTAGAAAGCAACGCATTTCAGGCCTATTGCCAACCCACCAGACATTGCGAGACCTTCTCGTATTTGTTATTGTTATTTTCCAGGGTGGAACAGAATCTGGAGTTGGCGCAGCCTCAAGAGTAGCGCGGGTTTAGGTGCAACCACCGTCTGGAAGAGCATTTGTTAATTAACGGCAAACAATATGTTGGATAAGTCGCACGCCTGTTTGCCTTGTTACTGTGGACTTGCAAGCATTGTGGCGACCTTTAGGGAACCGTGGCCTTTCCCCTCATCTGGTCTGGATCTTGCAATGTTTGCATTACCATCAACACCGGGAGATTTGCCAGCATACGGAACGGAGCAAAACGTTTGATATTGGTGCGGGTGTTCGCCAAGGATGTGTATTGAGTTCAGACTTGTTCCGCGCAGTTCTGGACTGGAGCACCCTTCTGCAGTTCCAGGCTGAAAGCGGCAACTGCATCTCCTATAGTTGAGGAGTCTGTGGGCCAGAGAAAGCCACGCCTCGTGTGGTACCAGTAGCGCCTGCGTCTGTGGAGTCGCCAACGCTTCGACCCATCAGAGCTCCAATGCCGGAGCTTCCCGAGCTACCTCCTTCTACGGAGGCCTGGACGTCATGAAAACAAATTTTCACGTAACCAACACCAACCCCAAAAGTCTCAAATGAAACATGGGTTGGGCACGCACAAACCGGTTTCGACAAACATTCAATTACCATCGGCAAATCTAAGGCCCGTCAGCGCATCGGGCCCAACAAGCATCGGAACACCCACATCTGAAACTTCCATTCTTCATCCGGTGATCGGTTCAGGTCCCCGCCGTGCATAATGCAGCTGTGGCTTGTACGCTGTTGTAGACCCATGCGTCGGGAACCAGAGACCGGATGCTGGCAGCAGTCATGCGTCACCCCAAGTTCCTTTTTGCAGGATTTGGGGAGTTCGGCACTTTCGAGATTGTCGTGCGGCACCCATGTATGCAAAGAATCGAATGATTTTTGTGTAGTGGCGCGGTGTCTTCAGAAGTCTCTAGCCCTTCGAGACTGCGTATGGTGTCAACGTGAACTTTGCTCGAAAGCTTTGGGTGTCAAGAGCCAGCTCTCTCCTGCCTCTAAGGTTTGCTCCGGACGGCTGGCGCATGACGGATGCGAACGCATCTTGGCCGCCACGAGTCCCGAGTTTGAGGATGGCTTTTCTTTGTGCGTGTAGTCTTTTCGTGTACCCTATATGGATCAACCTGAAACTTCTGCATGTAAGGGGTACGACAACTCTTGCTACACGTGTGTTTTTCTCGATTCATTGCTGCATTGGCTCCCAGTTGGGGTCTTCTCGTTGCTTCCGCTTCGGGTCTTTGTTTGGCTTGACATGGGGCTTCCTTGCTGAGGCGTGTTTTTGTGGCCACATTTTGACGATCGGTGTAGGCGATGGAGTCCGGGCCTCGCTTTCACACACAGACACACACACACATACACACACTCTCTCTCTCTCTCTGCTCCCCTTTCTCTGAATACCATCTACTGAACTTCTTTCTTCCAAGGCTACGATCTACGGAGAAGCTTGGTTTGTTTTATCCGTTCCTTGCAGCTGCATGTCCGGGCATCCTGTTCTCGCACCACCGTGGTCTTGCCCGCTTGAGTTGGCTCGTTCACGTGCGGAGACTAGCCAAAGCGACAAGAGGATGGAGGATAGTGTCTGGCATGCTGAACCCGCAAGTAAGTGTAAGTGGAAGGTTATATTGTCATGACGTGCGGACAAAGCGAGTACAACTCCTCGTTATGCACGCATCCTAGAATCCTCCTGCCATGCCATGAATCTTTTCCATGGTGCTCAGCGTGCTCAAATGTGCAGCGAGCACGAGGCAGGCAACATGGGCTTCTGGTCAAGCTTGGGTTCGTGAACAAACACGAGAGAAAGGTATGTCTTTTCCAACGCCTTTGCTTTCACAGCTTCCCTACAAAGCCCTCCAACAGGGGCGCACCTTTCGGTGCGGGGCTTCGCACGTCCTCTGGACCCCGTGAGTGAAGTGAAGAGAGAGAGGTGTGAGCCTGTTGTGGCATATTGCCACCCGCAACCGTCGGGGGCGCACTAGTGCGCTGTAGGGAGGCTTGCTCCCCTGCATCATATCCCTGGCGAAAAGAAAGAGACAGAGAGAGACTCCTCACCAACACTGGGGGGCCCTGGCGGCCGGGGATCCTGTTGACCCTGTGGAAGAAGAAGAAGAACCTCCCCACCACAGCCCTGGTGAAAGAAAGAGAGAGACCGTAGCCATTTTGGCTCAAGTCGTCTGCCTCGCCTTTCGGGGTGGGCGTGCTGGGGAGTGGCCCTTGGGGCTGGAGAGTGTTTGCTCTCTAGACCCGGAAATGACGTCTCTCTGAGCCGCCGCCGAGTTTGGGCTCAAGGGCCTCCCAGGCATTGGGGACGGTCCCCAGACCGTCCACCTCTTCCCAGAAGGCGACCAGGGCAGTTAGATAGAGTACCTCAAGACTGGGAGGGGGACACCAACAACGCGTCCCAAGAAAGAAAGGAAGCAAAGCGGCAGGAAAACTCGGAACCGAGAAGGGCGCCCACTACGACAGGCACCAGCGGAGGACCAGACGAGACCCAAGCAGGTACCAGGGAGCGCAAAACCAGCCGAGCCTGCAGACCCGCCGCGCCGGCCAAGAGGAGGAACAAGCTCGGAAGAAAGACTGGGGATGATGTTCCCGAGTACAGCCAAGGACATGGACCGGGGCACGAAGCGAAGAAGATATGCGACGAGTGAGTAGTGTGGCCGCCAGGTTTTCAAAGTACCTAGTTGTACAAAACCTCTGCAAGAGCCGACCCGGCATCCGAGTACCAGCCTATTGCCATACGCGAAAATGAATGCGAGGCATCTTTCTGTAACATTCGTCGCGACTTTAATTTTTGTAGAGGGGGCACCCACTCAACTTTCCTTGAACCTTAAAGTGGCGAGCCTGCAGCCAGCAGGCGACTTGCGGTGGCGGTACTCAGGGCATGTTTTTCTTTCCCCTCGGTCACTTGTCATTTCCTTAAAACTAACAGTGCGGTACCCAACGCCTGCCCCCACGGAGGGCCACCCACTCGGCCCCAGAGACCACAGTGCAGCCAAGCCCCTCGACCAAAATGGTGGATGGGGAAGCGCCTGGGTCGAGGGGTCTGCCCTCGGATCTCTCGGCTCTTACCCCAAGCAAAGCAAAGAGAGAGTCAGCCATTTTGAGCGGAAAGTTGCCTCTGCGCTTTGCTTTGCAACTTTCTGGCGCCGCAACCGTCGGGGGCGCAGGAGCGCGCGGTGTAGGGGGTCATAGCCCTGGCGAAAGAAAGAGAGAGAGAGAGAGAGACAGAGACTTCAACAAATTACGCTCGTTTTTCAACTCACTAAAGCCCGAACAAGCGTTCGGGTAAGCTTGAAGTTCGGGGGGACTTGACCGTCCCCTATGCCCGGGAGAGAGAGACAGGGGGAGGTTGCTGCAGGTACTCAGGATAGTCCCGTAGAGGGCGCGGGGACAAGACCTTGGTTGAGTTTTCCCGGTTGCGGGGGCTTAGCAGCAACCTCACACCTCAGGCAAATCGGGAGGGGGGCGCCTTGGCGCGGATTAGCGAACGCTAACCGAACCCATCGGAAGGAAGGCAGAGAGAGAGAGAGAGGGAGCACACGCACCACTTATCCCAACATGCTTACTGTCATCTGATTGTTTGTAGCATATCTTGTGGTCGTGATGTGAAACCCCGTACCGTTTTCACGTCCCTTCAAAGCCTCATAACATATGGGGGGCCAATACGCCGGGCAGTTCCCTATGCCCTGTGGAAGAAGAAGAAGAGCACACGCGCGCGGTGGGGAGTCAACTCCCCACCACAGCCCTGGCGAAAGAAAAAGAGCGAGAGAGAGAGCGGGAAGGAGGTCCGCTACGGTAGGCCTGCCCGAAGACCTGCACCGAGCAAGCAAGCGAGAGAGAGCTCGTGTTGTGCCGGAGAACCTGCGACCCTGGAACAGACAGGGCCCAAAGCTACCTTTGGACCGCACTTTCCTGCATGCCGTGGAAACGGGGTGTGCGTTAGTGTAACGGGAGGGAAAACCCTTCCTTTAGTCTTTCAGAATGCAGAGAGTGGTTTGCGCCCTTCAATGGTATATGCATCATGGACACTGACCTGATTGAGGCTCGCAAGCGGATGTCGTTGGCTGTCCATGGCCAAGGCCACGGGGCCCTGTCTGTTGCTTGTGTTGGCAACCTGCCAGGCTTATTTGCACCGATATTTGGGTGTTCCTGGGAATTCGCCTTACTGCATCAGGCCGGCATGCGGCGCTATTCGTCACAGGAAGGCGATGAGGGCGTCAGTTTAGCCAGTTGAGCAGAGAGTCCCGACATCGATGGGTTCAAAGATCGACACTGCACCCCAAGTTCCAGGAGATTCTACTAGGTCACCCAGCCTGGATTCAAAAAACGGTATTTAAGCTTCACGGCACTGACGTCCAGTACTTTTCGTTGAACATACGCCAGCTGAGTATCACACGACTTCTTGGGCCAGCCTTTGAAGGTTCTGCGCAGACATCTGCTGCGTCGAGATCTTAGCGACTTTACACGCCTATGACCCCTATGTCATACAACCGCCCCCCTGCTCCGAGGCTCGATGACCGTCCAATGCTAGCTGACAACTTGGACATCCGGGACACCACGGAGGCAAAGAGGGTTCCGAGGCGCGGCAAGCCTAGGCAAGCTGCGCCGGCTCGAACAGAGTGCATGAGGCAGAAACAGGAGCCGAAACCAATCCCCACACCTTCGTTGCCTGAGCATCGGGCCGAGCTTGCGCTTGAGGGAAAGCGAGAGAGAGTCGGGTCATCCGGGCCTACACCCCAGCCCCAATCCTGAACCCGCAAAAGTGCAAGTTTTCACAGTAATTACGAGGGTCTCATCTGCCTGAAGCTTCGCGAAAAGCGTCCACGAGGTTCGCGGGCCCCAGCCCCAGCCGCCGAGCTGCCTTAGCTTTGCAGGTCCCGGAGGCCAAATCCCACTAAACACAGTTTCTGTGTGTGGTGTGTGACTTGTGTAGCCGGTGGTGGCCATGCCAGGCGATCCCGACGATGCACGCCGGGCATCAAGCACGACTTCCTTTAGACCTCGAGCCTCGCCAGAGGCGACACGTGGGGTTTGGAGCTCGGCTTTCTTTTCTTTGCTTGGCCAGGCGCCGACTGGAAGAGTCCTGGGAACCGGAACTCCAGAAGGAGGCCCTCCGACGGGCCGTGCTCTGGGCTCCGGGCACCGGGCTGGCTTGAGAGGCTGCAAGCCGCAGCTCTTTGCAGCTCTGAGCATGCAAGCAGATGGCAAGAGGTAGTCAGAGTATCGGAGAGTAACTGCTCGTCTTATGCCAGTTCCGCTTGGCCTTCCAGCAAGCAAGCCAGACGCTGCAAGAGCAGCAGGCAGAGGAGGTCCTTTGATTTCGGACTTGACACGCTCCCCTATCAAGCCCCTTAGCATCTCAGTGATTCCGATGCAACAGGGGCAACGGCAGTGGCTAAGTATTGTCCGAGCCTTTGAACGCAGTTGAGGTGCTTCGTTTGTTCCAACACTCTTTCCTCCCTTGGAGCCTCGTCTCCCAGGTTCGCAAATTGCAAGGCCGCTGGGAGGCCGGTTGTCCAACGAAGCGCATGTTTGCGCAAGTTGCTTAAACAAGCTTCTGATTTGATTTTCTAAGTGCCCCTTGTCAAATTAAATGCGGATTGATCTAAAAGGTCCTTGTCTCGGATTTGCATGGGGCGGATGCACACGAAACGACTTTCAGATTCACATAAGGCAAGGTGTCTGCGAAAGCTCCGCAGAAACAATAAGCCGCCAATGGTGTTAAGTAGCAGACTTGGGACCTAGAAGACTTGTAAAGAACATGCAATGCCCGTTCTTGCGCAATGCCAGAACACGCCCAAAGCCGGGGTTTGAGGCTTGACCGGGTTGCAAGACGAAGCAAGGACGCAGCTGGCAGCCGCCTTCAGCAGGATTTCGTCGTCGATCGTCCTAACAGTACTGAATCACAAACCTGTGACCCTCAACCCCAGGCTCGCCCGAGCCTCGAGAGTCCAAACCCTACACTTATCGCCATGCCGGCAGTTGCGAGTGTGTGAGTCGAAACTCTTGGACACAGGCATCAAGTCATCTTGTTTTCACGCCGACTGCGAACACATGGACCCTCGCCTGGCTTGTCCGAGTTGTGAGAGTGTAAACTCTTAGACACGAAAGCATGGACTCGCGTGGGTTCCTGCCTCACCGACCCTGCGGTTCTGGCAGGGTAGGAGCAGGAGCCAGGCCAAACTTGTGAGGTGCCTGGGGCCACAGTTGCAGTACCAGCCAACGTCAGAGTGTTTTATTCTTTTTTGGAAATCGTTGTATTGTAGGTTCTCCCTGTAAGGTCATGTGTGTTTCACCCCTCCTGCCATGCTCGGTCTCTGAAGCACTGTCCCCGCTTAGTGTTTCCGTGAAGGGTCATGGACGGGAAGTCCTGCGGGGCTGTCTTGCCAAGTGACCAGTTCAAACCTAAGCCGGCCGTCTTGGGGGATGGGGGCACGTGGAGGTTCGAGTCACCCCCTCCCCTCATACCCAGGATCGGATTGAGAATCCCGGAGCGTTGAACTTAGCAGATGTCAAAGCTCGATGCAACTTTGCCTTCGTGCATTCGCGGACTTCGTGTGATTCCAGGGTTTTCACGCTATGGAAATTTCTGCCGTCTCACAGATTTGTTGAAGCATCACATCCCGAGTGCTTCCATGCCACCAGGCAGACAATCCCGAAGGGACGACAGCGCCTCAAAATCATGTGATCGAGGCCAGAATCTAAACTCCAGGATTCGAGTAAATCTTCAAGATGATTGGGCTTGCGCTCACGATGATTCTTGTTGATTGTGGTCGGCATGATTGTAGCCTTGTAGCAGATGGCAGGGTCGAAAGTTCCAAGCAGATGAGTAGAGCCTTTGGTTGTAGGTACACCTGCCGATTCCCGCAAGGAAGTGGGCGGTGTCTTGAAGACGTGGCGCTCAGACCGCCCCAGCCAGCAGGTGCGTGATCGGAGTCATCGGGCCTAGGCTTCACTTGATGATCACAGGCAGAACTGTGGTTGAGCAGAGATGGCATTGCTGTCACCTCAGCTGCTGCCCACTTCGAGTGTCATGACTTCCAATCCAATCCAACCGGACTGCACGCAAGCTGCTTCGCACCATGCAGTAATGCAGGGTAATGCATAGCTGAAGGTCATGCTGGGCAAGGGGAATGTTCAGTTGGACATGGCCACCGTGGGATCCAGAAGTATCCGATGGAAGCGAAGGCGCAGTTATCAGTAGCATGGTAGACTGTAGCCAGACATGTCTCGCAGCGCCTGCTCGGCAGATGAGCGAACAATGCCATTGCAACCGCGTGTGGGGGAAGATTAACGGCACCCGCCGCACGAGCCTTCTGCTTCGGGCAGGCCAAAACCCTTGCGAGTAGGGCAGGTGGGGCGAGTGGGGCCAGTAGGGTGAGTGGTCGACCGGGGCAAGCGAGGCGAGTCGGGCGAGCGGGGCAGGTGAGGCATCAGTGGCGAGTGGGGGTTGGGGCGAGTCGGGCAAGGGTCAAGTGCTGATGGTGCAGCAGGGAACTCACTGCCAGCTGCAAGTGGGGCTCGTCCGGCCACAGGGGCAAGTGGGGCGAGCAGGTCAAGTGGGGGGCAAGTAGGGCGAGTCAGGCAGTCTCGTTAGTCCTGCCTGACGCTGCGCACTTCTTCGAGGCACGGAGATGTTTGGGAGTGGCGCTGGATGGGTGACACGGAGCCTCGCAATCGGATGGGTTCGAGGATGGTGTGCTGCTGTGAGTTAGAAGTTGTAGACCGCAGGAGCCAACCCCGTTCGGACATCTCTGGTGCTCATTGCCTTGGCAAAACATCGCCAAACCTCGAGGCAGATGCTTCCAATTCCGTTGTGTAGCCGCTTATGACTTGCGTGCATTGAAAAACTGATAGGTCCCGAAAAGAGGAAAGCCCTGGCGGCAACCTCGGCCTCATTTTACCTCTTGTTGCGGGACTTTCCTAGCGGATGCCAGCCGGTTGAGGTTTACAAAAGGCTCGGCCACTTGATACTAGCTGCTGCGCACCGTGCGGGCCCCAACTGAAGGCCATCCCATCCCGCAGCGGCACACCAATGGCACATTAGAGTCATATCGGGGTGAAGAGTACGCTAGCAGCTCGTGATTCAGGTGCATCTCTCTGCCTGCGTAACGCGGTTGAAGCGCGAGGTCACTACTTGGAGAAGCTTGTTCCACGCACCCCTCCGTCGGCATTAGACTACTGGAAGGAGGCTTGGCATCTTCATCACGTGGGGAATGACGTGGTGATGGTTCAGAATGCTTGCGCATTTCTGGCTACCGAATTCGCAGCGGGCGATATCTGCCCAAGGCTCGTTCGGAATTCTGCAGATGCAGCCAATCGTTCAGGTTTGCCGGACAGTGGAAAGGGAGAACAGGCTCCCATGAGCTTTCGGTGCTTGATTTGGAGACTGCTCAGCTAGTGTTCTGGACGAACTTGGCAGGGCTGCCAACATCGTGACTGTTGCTGCGGAGCTGGCAACCTTTGAAGATCGTGTCCATGACGGAAATTCATTTTTGGCCACGGCCCCATGCAGTCTTCCCTCTATGCCGGGCCGTTGTCATCACAGTTCTTCCCTGCAAGGTCGGATACGCTGAGCGTTTCTGGAGGCGGGCCGACTTCCAAGTCTCGGCAACGAACGGGCCACTGCCTCAGATGGCGATTCGTCATGCCAGCCTGGACACAAAGGTGATTTTGCCATGGAAATGTTCTTCACATGTGCACTCCCTTTAACGAGTATCTAGACCTGACCTGAACATGGGGGAGTCAGGATTCTTCTGAGCCACCCAGCGCTGCAAGAGAAAGTGGCCAACGAGGGCTGGGGCTTCAACCACTGGAAGCAGGCTTGTCGCTGAGTAGACCCAAGTGGCCCAAGCAGATGTGTTTTGCCAGGAGAAGTTAAGCCAGGATGAGGTGGTTAATTTCATGCGCCACATGAACGTGCAGGCGCGGCTTCAGTGCATTAATGGCGGGCAGATCCCACGGAGCTTCACGTTGTCCTTCTGGTGCCCCAGAGTCCTTGCCAGACTCATCGTGATCGAGAGACACTATTGCATGCATGTTTCCTCCAAGCCTACTCCCCAGCCGGAAATTTTCCGCCAAACCCTTGGGCAGGGCCTTACACACTCCGAAGTCCGCCTCTGGCCACGCCCGTTTCGGCGCACAGAGAGAGCAAGTCCGGTGCGCCCAACTGAAGAGTTCAGGTTTACGGAAGAGTCGAGTCTAGTCATGCGAGTCGTGCGGCTGGGGCGGAGGAGCAGATCGAAGAGGCCGTGCAGAAAGTTTTAAAGCTCGTTGGACAGGCCGGGCCGGGCATGAGGCCTATGGCCCGTTGCGGTGTGGTTCATTACGATGAAAGCTAGCTCCCTACAGATGCTGGTGTATGTTCCTGGAGATGAGAAGCTACAGTGCTGCATGAAGCTAAGACCCGGCCTGCGCGACAGGCAGAAGAACTCAGCTGGCACAAGCTTCGCGCTTTACTTGCTGACAGGTCTTGCCAGAGAGTTGCCTAAGAGTCCCCTTGATGCAGTGAGGCGGTAAGTCGGGACCGTGCAACGACAGACCTGCCAGGGGATTCTTCTCGACAAGGCGGCAACAAGAAGAAACAGGCGGTTCGCTTGAGACCGCTACAGACTTGAACCCGCCGGAAAATAACTTTCTCAAACTGTGCGGACTTGCCGACGCACTTCCATCGTATGAAAGCACGGACTGCGTGTACCTCAAGAATTTTGCTTTAGCTTCCATGCAGCATGCACTTCGGCAGCAGGTGTTTGTTGTACTTTCTTGACTGCAGACTCTGCAGACGCATGTATCGCCCGCTTGCTCCGATTTATAACGTCTGATTTCCTTGTGCCAATGCTCGTGCTTCTGCGATGATCTTCGCCGTGCACCTAGTGTCGAGGGCTTGTGCATGGGCTCCGGATTCAGTTCTGTGTTTTCATTGACCGACTCATTGTATGGCAGCAGAGGTGACCGTCGGGACCACTTGCTTTGACGAGCTGATCAGGGCGGTAGACACTGAAGCCTTCCATGAGAAGGTGCCCAAGCCCTGCAGCTTCCGGTGAGATCGCACCCCAAAAGCAATTCCCTAAACAGGCAAGGGGGTATGGCTCGTGTGTCCCTTGAGGCCCTGGCACTCGGATTTGAGAGGCTGGTCGTGCAGCGTGGCCGCGGCAGCCACAGGCACCCTAAGAGTCAACACGCACTGAAGGGAAGGCCTTTCAGAGTTGTCGCACAGGCCCCGGCAACTGGGCTTGAAGACGGAGCTTGGTCCCCAGTCAAGTTCGTGTCGTTCGCCATAAGCTACGGCACTGCAGAGAAGCATGCTCTGCACAGAGCCAGGTCTTTCGACCTCAAGCCCAGCTTGGACGAAGAGGTGTGGAGTTCCTTGTCGTGTGGGGCAAGGGCAGGGGCTAGAAGCCTTGCCAGTTGAAGTCCGCCTCCCTGGTAATCTCCCATGCCGGCGCTGGCAGCATCATCGAAGCTCTCAGGGAGCGAAGGTGCAGCAACGCAGCCCGCCCCCACTGCCCTGACCGCCGCCGTGCCTGCCCGGCCTCGTTCCAGGCGATTGCTGGTGGTCGTGAATCCTCTGCTCATGAACAATCACCAGCTGGAGTTGGCCGAGGCTTACAGACACCTTCCAAAAATGGCATGCGAAGGAGGAACCATGAGGAAACTCTCGACTTGGTGATGCAGGCTATGCAGAAGAGGGGCCACTGCGCCGGATGCCCGGACGCCCCTTAAAAGTGCCGACTCTTTCTGTGTCGTCGCCCAAGGCCATGGCAGAGGATGCTTCGGAGGTCGTCGCGCGGCTGCAGGAGGCCGTGCAGGCCGTGTGCCGATAGCGGGGGGAAGCTTCGTAGCCAAAGTTGATCCGCCTTGCTTCCTGTCGCCAGATGGATCTCACTGCCTACCCAGCCGCAAACCTCAAGCCATGGCATGACCTGCTGGAGGACTGCGAATGCTCCAGACTGGGCGATGTGCACGAACGGAGGCAGTTGTAAAGCTCCATCTATTTTACACAGCCGCTGCCATCATTGCAGGACGCCTGTGGTGTGGTGCCGGTAAACCGAGCTCCGGGATAATCCAACAGGTCAATGAAAAAGAGCGCCTGACGCAGCCTGGAAAACTGTGATTAGTTTGACATACCTTGACATTGCCGTGGAGCTGTGGGGCCCAGATGCATCGCACAGACTTGGTTTACATAAGGCTATGCCAATGCCAGGCATAGGAACACTTCTGCTGTCTCGATTTTGTGGGTCTTCTAACCGGGCCATGGCACATGTGCGGCGCACTATGCTGCTTGGGCTGCGCGGATCGCGCCACTTCGGCTTTCGTACCGAGGCGGACAGTTAGTCACTTAGTCAGTTGGCGCAGTGGTCATTGGGCACGGGATGCTGCCAGGTCTTACCGGGACTGCACTGACGGCTGGTGTTAGGATGCAGTATACCACCTGGCCGCATGTCCTCAACCTAGGAGCTTCCACGCTGCACTTCTCGTCACTGCTGTCGCAACTGCCAGACTTCGAGGAGGGCCGTCGTGCCGCTGGCTTCAATGGTTGTGCCTTTCAAACTTGGCACAGATTTCCAGACTGTAGCCAAGCTTGTCAAGGCTCTAGCGGAGCAGCGGCACCCTGGCTGCACTCGCAGCACGTGAGATGGGGAAGCATTTCCTTTGTCCCAGTTGAATGCACAGGTGACCAAATGTGTTCCTTCAATTTCTTCCTTAGAAGAAGCCTTCCCCTCTTAGGTATGCAGATGCACTGCCTATGCTACGGCGTGCTGCAGAGGTTCTGAGGGTCAAAGCTGCGAGCGAGTTTCACATTGTGTAAATCTGGAGCCCTTCCGGTA